TGGTAAATGTAATTTTGAGACAAACCTTGTGATTCATTGCACTTCTGTTTAGTGAGTATGAATCAACAGTAGTAGCTGCCATGACAAGTTATAATGCAAGACCTGATATTTACTATACATACACTGACACAGTGATGAGCATTTGAAAGTTTTAAGGGCACTGAAATATTGCCGTTCTCTTGTCTGTGCAATGAGCCCATTTTCAAACCCAGGAACTCTTTCAGTTGGGTAGCGAGTGAAAAGGAAAGATGTGACTTTATAGCCTTTTGCTTTGCTCTCTGGACAGCCCCTCTATTATTAATGTGCCTCTCAGACTGCTAACAAGCCAAAGCTCACTTGTTAAAAAGACAGGAACAGCAGATATAAACAATTACATGAAGCACATTAAGCTCATGATTAAAGAATTACTATAGCCTATTTATCTTTGCTGCTGCCTTGTATAAATCCTCCTCCTGCTACTTTTTGTATCTGCTCTACTATACTGTTACCCTGAAGGCATGAAAGCAATAACTATGGCATGAATATAACCTTTAAGACCTATAACCATTTGCTGATGTTAATTTGTTAATGCCTTACACTGAAGAACTTAATGGGCCTTGCAAATAACCTAAACAATCTTCCACAGACACACTAATTCCATTAAGCACATAAATGTAACTTAGCCTTTTTTCTTATTTCATTATTTACGGAATAAATCTTTTTAAGGAAAATGGACTGGGTTTGAGGTTTCACTGCTGTGGAAGTGTAATTTTATATTCTCAGACAACATCTACATGTGTGTGTTATTGAAACATTTTTATAGTGCAAAAGATGTGGTCCACTACAGAACTTCATTTTATATAAATTGAATTCAAGATGATTTAGGCCCAGTAGATATCCAACTAAAGTAGGCCACACATGCTTGACATGACACATGGTAAGTGGACACTCTTGTACGATGCTGTTGACATATTGGGTTGGAGTTTTTTAGATGAAGAACAAGTGTGTTTTCCCATCTGATTTCCACTGGGAGCTGCTGTTGTAATTGGGTGAGATTGGATGTCGGATATCCATCTAGTTGTGGGTGCAAAGCAATGTCTTGTTGAGGTGATGTTAGTCTGCTGAGTGCGTTAATGTTCCTCTCAGAATGGACAACAGCCCTCATAGGGTCATGAAGGAGGCTGCAAAAGATTGACCTATAATAAAATATATGGGATTAAGCAGAAGTTAATTCCATGCCAAAAAGCAGAAAGAGAAAACGGAGTGTTTCAGCTGTTGAGATGAAGGTGTGCTCGCCCCCAAAGAAGGCTCAGCAGCTGAAACTGTTTTTCTTTTTCTTACCACGGAATTAACCTCTACTAGTTCCTTTTCTGCACACACACACTGTTGCAGTTTATGTAGACTATTGTAGATGACCAATATAGAGTCCAGATCATTTTTCAAATAACTTGTATTCGAAATTTATTAAGATAAAGACCTTCCTGATGCCACATCTCCAATAACCAACTTTACTGTATTTTTTCAGTAAATGATTTTCCCATGCTAGTATGACGGAACTGTATCTTCGCTATAAAATAGGGGGATTATGTAATGTGCAAAAATGCATGGACATTTTTCTGTTCAGAAACGAAACTGAGCAACTTTCCCTCCCGATTTCCAGTGTTTGTGCTTTTTACTAGGAAAGTATATTAAATATAAGTATAAGTATATTAATTTTTTGTTAATATCTGGAACAGTGCTGTGGAGGCCAGTATCTCCTTCACACATTTTTTTCACTCTTTTGTGCAATGTTGACAAGTTCACTGGTACATCAGCTGGGAGATATCTGAAGGAAATAATCCTTGCTCTCTTTCCCACAGCATTTGCATGCTATCATATTAAAGGTATTCAGTGTACTTCCTTGCAATTTCATCTGAATCATTTGTGTTTTGATAAATGTGCCCATTCAAAAATGTAAGTAAAATGTAAATGTAATTCCAGCAGCATTTAGCTAGTTTAGCCGAGCCATGCCATATAAGCTGTCAATCTGTTTTTTCTTCTACAAAACCGTAGCAGGCAGGCAGTCAGTTTGGTACAGGGTCTAGTTTGTGAACAAAGGCAGGCAGGGGAATCTTGAGTGGTTACTGCTCCTGATGTATCAAGCTGTTTTTTAGGATGCTTGCCTAGAAGGTGGGAATATCCCCTTCTGTTAAACACAAATCACCAAAGGGATTGCAGCGTGGTGCTGAGACTTTTTGCACTCAATGATGAGGAAGTTGGCAGTGGTAAGGGAGTAGAATCGGGGAAATTCCCTGTGTGCCAAACTCTAAACTCGTTTCTTAATTAGAAGCCCAATAGAGCTGCAGATATAGCTGAGCCTGTGCTGACTCCACCTCTTTCACCTCTGTCTAAATTTCCCATCTGCGTCAAAATTAATCTTCCGTTACAATGAGGCGTTGTGTCTAAAGGTGTGGTGGCCGTCAAATGGTATCTACAAGGATGAAATTCTGTAACATCACAAAGCTTATCTAGAACAGGACATTAATCACAAGGGGAAGTTAATAGTTCTGATTAGAGTGGCTGTGCAGTCGGAATGTAAAGTGAGCTGAGGCGTAGTGGGGATCTGGGAAGAGGTTGCTGATGTCAGAGGCAGTGTATTCATTTGTCTAGTTAGATTTTTTTTTACATTATTTTGGATCATTTTCAGCTCATCCTTTGTGGGCTTTGTCTTAGGTCCAGGGACGTTTAGATTAATATGGCAGGTCTGCAGAATAGTAGTAGCAAGGGTTGACTCACATATGATTGTTTTTCCATTAGCTACATTCTGACAAATGTTTATGTAACTAATAGATCTTGTGTGCAGCATTGATTTCAGGCCTGAAGTTGTCATTTGTGTTTGGCTAGGAGGTGTTGATCACATTTTGTTTAAGCAATTTTCCAACCATAAGTTTGGAATCTCTAAGTGAGTTTGTCAGCATTGTGGAATGTGTGTTTCTACCTGTAATATATCATTTTAATTATGCTTTCAGGTGTACAGAATGGTGGCACAGAGGTTAGCATTGCTGCCGTGCAGCACTGGGGTCCTGGGTGCAATTTCTGGGGTGCTGTCTGAGTAGAGATGATATTTTCTTTTAGTTTTTGCACAGGTTTTACTCTGGATGCTCTGATTTCCTCCTACAGTCCAAAGACATAACTTGCACGCATGCTTCTGTAAACTACTGGTCCTGGTGTGTATGTTTTTGCCTCTGTGTGATCTGCCATGGATTGGGGGTCACATGTAGGTCGTATCCTGCCTTGTGTCCATTACTTGCCGGGTTAGGCTCCACCTCCCCTGCAACCCTGTACTAGATAAGGTGGATGGAAAAGGGATAAACAGATGGATAATCTTAGGTGTCAATTAAAGGCATCCCTGTGTCTATAAATTCAGCCCACCAACCTGACATTCATCAGGTTTTATAGTCAATATGGTGAACATACTGAATGCAGGACAATAGCATGTAACTAAATTCATTAAACTGCACAGGACTAACCAAACAATAATGTGCATACATACAGTATTATATGAAGATACAGTGGGCTCTCAGTGTGAGAAATACAATTCCACACAAATGGAAATGATGAAATGATGCTGTAACAAATTCCCAATGAAATGTATTTAGTTGTGCAACTTAAATTACCATTTTGTTCCATTTCATGAGGTACAGGAGTTACTAAAGGTGTCAACTGTTTAGTGACCCTGTCAACCTTTACTATAGGATTCTGCTTATCTCTTTTTCCTTAAGAAAGGCTAACAGTCTTTAATTTCTGAATTTAATAACTATAGTACAGTAGATAATTTGTGTTGCTATCAGGCTACAAATGGCATCAGTACAGTACTTAGTTGTTTAAATGTTTGATATTTACATGCCATCATAATCATTGTAAAAATTGAAAATATGATTCTAGTTGCACAAACTATCGGTAGCATCCTACTGATTCATTATTTATTGCTATTTTCTTCTGATGTTTGTCTCTTGAGCAATCTGAACTCTTCTTTCTATTAATTTTTAATTAGAATGACTTAAATGCAGCTCAAGTCATCTGCAGGTTTTGCTCACTCAGGTGAAGGTGATACAACTTACAGTTTTCTAATTGCTCAGGTTATATTTCTACAAAACGTAAGCATATACTGCTAGCAAACACAACACCACTTTTCTAAAGGACACATGGCAGAATGCTTGTTGCCAGACTGTATTTCTTCTTTAGACATACAGTTTGAGCTGGACCATTTGAATTTCTGGTTGGATGTCTGAAGGAGCTTCTCTGAGTTCTCCTTTACATCTCGATTGCAGAACCACCCCTTTCCTTCTCGAGGGCTGCCTGTCACCTGTACTCCTTGACTCTGGCACTTTCCCCTAACAAGTATTAAACCCTCTTGCTGCACTAATGTATTCAAATACAACTTGATTGGGATGTCAGTGGCATTACTTCACTGTGGATAAGAAAAAACAGAGTTCCATTTGATGATTTACTTTTGGTGCAATTAATGCAATCTGATTCCACTAATTTCTCTTTAAGACTTTTATTTATTTATTATTTTTAAATGAATGTATATTGTTAGTTTATGCATATAGCTTCCATTCCAGAATACAGGCAGCTGTGTCATGTTTTTTTGTGTCTTTCTATGTAAATGAAGAAGAAACTGGAATTTGAGTTGATAACTGTTCTTTTGCACAGAACCTAACTAAAAAAGCTGCCTAATTGGTGTTTCAGAGTCTTGTAGTTTGTGATTTGTTTTGTACAGAAGGCTGTTACAACAGTGCCTTGTTTCAGAGGAACACTTTAAAGACACCAATGATCTGTCTTGTTCACGGCTGCAGTGCCTCGTTGTTTATTTAATTAGGCTGTCTCCTTCACTCTGGTGCTTCTGTACACATCACCATCATCTGAATTGCTCACTATATTCAGAGTTGAGCCATTGGTTTCTTTGTGTACCGCGGTTCCTGGCTCTCCGTCCTGAGCACTAGCTGAACTCCCCCTGTTTCTGCTGTGTCTCTACACAGATGACAGTGCTTCGGCTGCCAGCAGCATGGAGGTCACGGACCGCATCGCCTCCCTGGAGCAGCGCGTCCAGATGCAGGAGGATGAAATCCAGCTGTTGAAGTCGGCGTTGGCTGATGTTGTCAGGCGGCTCAACATTTCTGAGGAGCAGCAGGCCATGCTGAACAGAAAAGGACCCACCAAAGGTATCCTCCCTGTTCTACACTTGTCTTCCACTGCCTTTCTCTCGGGAGCGCTAGTGTGTTCCCCCATATCCTGGGAAATTGTATTTTTACCTCACTAAAATTTGCCTCACTAAACTGAGAAAAGCTTTCTTCATGAAACAGTGAAGATGATATGTATGTACACCTTTAGCCCTAATATTTTCGAGAACACTCTTCATCACATTGTGGTTCACAAGCAAAATGCATTCTCTTGAGCTCTTTTAGTAATATTCTTGACACTCAGGAATCTGTTGTGTTTAGAATATAACAAGTCCGTCCATACAAATGTCTAATTAAGGCAATAGTCTTAATTTTCATTTATAAAAGTAAAGGACTGGCAGGCAGTGTATTAGCATAAACATGAATTCCCCTGCCTCCCACACATTCATACAACAGCTTTTTACTAATTTCAGTGTCCGTGATGCAGAGCAATTTGTATTTTCTATGCCACATTGGATCATCAAAATTTAAATTAAATTGAAATTTAGTATTGCCTGAGATAGTCTGATCTGAGGATGCTTTTATGGCCAAGGAGCTGTTCAACTCAAGCATGGAGAGCATTGGTCACAAGCTGGCTGTCCTCAATGCGTCTCACAAAGGATATCAAACTATACCCTGTTTTTTTTTCAAATTGGCAAAATGAGAAGCTCTTGTATTCATTCCAGTTGTACCCCATTCCCTTCTTTGGGTCTTGCTCCTCCCCCATTCATTTTTCTCTTCAGTTCTCTTCCATTTCCTTCTTCCTTCTTCTTTTTCTCTTTCCTTGCTAACTCTTGGCCTCTTTAGACCAGACCGCTGTGAAAAAATCCACTCCTACAGAGAGTGCTAAATCAGGCAGTACTGACAAGCCAGGTAAGAAGCATCCCCAATAGTTCTGCCTGTTGTTCTGTGACTTCACAACTTTTGGGCCTGTCTCTGCATCGTCCACTCGCTATTAATACAAATAGTAACTGCAAATGAGAGGTGTATGTCCTGCAGATAATAAAGGCATGTCCAGAATTTAGGCTTTTAACTTGTTAAAGTATTGTGTTATTGATGCTTCAATCCTAGGTGAAGTGTTGCCAAGGTTGTGATTCTTTCTGTCATCTTGGGAGGTGTCTTGCCTGACTTTACCACAAACTGTGCATGTACTAATAACACAAATAGGTTTAATACGCCACAATCCGGCAGCACTGTGGAATGGTTGTTAGGGTTCTGTTCCTGGGTGGTGCACTGCTGTTGTATGCTTGATTAAGGTACTTCACTCAGTTTGCTCCAGTAACCATGTCCAGCTTTATAGAAGGTTGTAAATTTCAGGTGCTTTGGATATCAGCCAAACAAAATAAGAATAATGCTCTAATGTGGACTTTTTGAAGAGATATATATATATAATAAATCTGTTTATATTGGACAAAGAATGGAGAGTCTATGATTTTAAAGTAACAGATCTTATCAGTGTAAGCAGCTTATGCTGAAGAGTAGGTATTTATTTAAACAAACAGTATACAGTAATATACAATAATTCCCATTTTGCAAGGAAAAGCTTCTGCATGTGTGAAAGGCAGTTTCATAGTGTTCTCAATTGTGAATGAGACCACAATTTTTAACAGTTCCAAAGTGTTTGAAAATGTAGGTTTACATTGGTACAGAGTCTTTTGGAAGTTAAATAGAGATTATTTTCTTGTCTTGAGATATTAATAAATATGGATTGCATTTAGTAAATTAGAATTGAGAGGGGCACCTGAAAATTACAGAAGCTCTTCTTCACATCAGCTTGTTCACTCTCTGTGTCTCTCACTCAGTTTGGAGGTAAATCTGTTTCCTTCTGTTCTCTAAAATGTTAGCTGCATTGTGCCCAGTTCCTCTAGAACAAAGTTCAGATATGCCGAAGTAAAATCTAGAAATGGGCAAATCCAGTCGCACACTGTTTGCTATTCATGACATTCCAAGTGCAGGGATTATTAAAAAATAAATTAAATTATCTGTTAGTCACTGCCTTATGCTACCTTATTTTTATGCTGAAATGGACTTCTGGGGTATTCCAGTGCATCAAACAAATCACATTTTTCATATGCAGAGTTCCCCTGGGATACCAAAAGCCTCACATTTTAAGCTTGCATTTCTCCCCTGAAATTGTTGAGTGCTTAACAATGTGTTCTGTGTTTTCCTTTGACAGTAAAGTCCCAGAGAGGGACCACAGAGTGATTAATTGCTATTGTGCCTTTATGTGTAGGTTTTTTTTTCTGTGCATTGCTGTGAGAACCAGTAGTAGAAGATTGAAAGCCTGTGCTCCCATCACCCAAGTTCAATCATTTCTCCACCGACAAACATTCTGTACAGGAGGTGATGTGAGGCACCTTGGTTCTTAGTAAACAAGAAAATGTCTGGGAGTCATAGCTGGTTAATCCCTTTGTACTCTAATGCATTCTGAACTGTGTTGTTTTTACACTTTCACAACTGCACAACTGATCTGGCCTTCATTTATTATCCATTCTTTGTGGTTTTACATAAAAAGTTATCAAGATTAAATTAGCATTAGCCACCGAGTACAAAATTGCTGCTGTCACATTTGTAATTTGTTTTTTTGCTCTTCCTCTGTTTTGCAGCCAGACCCCTGATGCAGGGGTTGCCCTTGAGGCCGACCGTAAACAATGGCACAGTCCTACCAAAGAAAACCAGCACATTGCCATCTCCCTCTGGCACCAGGAAGGACACCTCATCACCAGCAACCAAGAGGTAGGACTGCCTTGGAAGAAGTGTAAGACTGGAGTGAAAGACCCTGGACTGATAACTCCCAGTTGAGTGACATTCCACATCCCTACATGGGCAGTAGAAACAAAGCAAAATGTCTTCAAATGACTCTGTGGTCTTCAACCAGCCAGATCAGAAAGCCAACCTGTGGGAGAGACAGAACACATGTTCAGTCTCTTCCATTTCTTCTTCATGATTCCATTTCGTTTGTAATGCAGATCTTGGCCTTATAAAGGCAAAGCTATTTTGCCATTAACCAGAGACTCAAAAGGCAGATTAAAACAGAAAAGAAGCAGAACGGAAGAGCTGAAGTTTTTGTCACTCCCTGCATGTCGCACTTAGATTTGCTAAATCACACTCACAGCCAGAAAATCAGAGCATGGGCTTTGCTGCTACTGCAAGAACTAGGGACATATTTCAGTATGCTTGGTTCTTGTGGTCTTTAATGCCACTTATTCCTCTTCAGTTCTGCTGAAGCCTCATTACATACACGTGCGTTTTACATCTGTGGAAAAATTGATCAACAGATTCAGCAGAGGAGCACAGGTTATTCTATTTGGTTAATGTGTGAGTAGGCAATTGGCTGACGTGAGGAAAAGATTGATTCCAGAAGTTATTATACAGTACATATAAGACGCTCTGTAAAATGTGGGACTTTATTAGCAGAAACATGGTATTTTAAGTAGTAAGAAACTTAATAGTAACAGGTTTAGAACTGTTACCTAGACATTTTTATTAAGAGTTCACTTAGTGAAAATGTATCATGTATTGCCTATAATATGATTTTGTTTATTGTCACAATTGTTTGAGCAGACAATGGACAAAGTTTTAGCAAACGTTTCTGCATTACAGTTGTCCAGTTCTGAGTAAATACCAAAATGTGTTATTGGAACGATAGTTTTTATGCCTAATAAGTTTACCCTGGAAACTGTAATGACTAAGGTTTGTCATAACCATTAGACCATTTAACCAATCCTCTAAAGCAGCATGTATTAATTTTCCTGTAGAAAAATCATATTTGAAAGTTGAAAAGGCTTTAAATTAACACCTGCTGGTAGATGTTTAAATACAAGTTGGAAGGGTGTGTGTGTGTGTTGAATGTTTTGCTGTGTTTCTTCAACCGAGCAGAATTCTGTCAGAGCTGTGATAACTATTTGAAATTAAGACTCTTCACATGTCAGCAGCATAAGCTGGTTGACTCCTGGTGGTTATGCTTTCACCACTGAAGATATCTCCCAGGAGTGTGAATTTCTTAAATATCCTTAGTAAAATTGGCATGTGTGGATTATGTAATTGTAACTTAAATATTCACAGTATTTCATTTGGCTGACTGGCAGTGATCATGTTTAATATAATGGGTGATGGCAACCTTTCCACGTTGGACTAAGAAGTTTTGGCAATCAGTGCAGAATGGCTTGGCTGTGATGCTCAGTCTGGAAGGGTCTTGGGCAGAGTTGTGTCAGATTAATGAAGCTTTCAATTCAATTTCTTGCTACAAGACAAAAGCAGCTGTGAACATAATATCTGTCATTGAAGTAATAGATTCTCTTGTTACCAACCATGCTTTTAAATATGTTCATGCAGACAAGGGCATTTTTAAAAAGAACCTTGCAAAATGTGACAGTTTTCGAAAAGAAGACTTAAATTTGTAAAAAGAGGGGTTAAATTGCATCATTAGTGCTTAATGGAAAGCTCAGTGAAAAGTAGTTTAAAGCATTTAATCCTTTTTGTGGTTAAGGAGATCTTCACGAGAACCTTGTCAGATTTAATGAAAGAACTCTTTCCACTTATTTACTCAAAAGGTTGTGAGAAACCTGAACAAGATACCTGGCCATATTGTTGAAGCGAATATTCTTCAAAAAATGCTCAGATCAAATTTTATCAGCTATTACTGTACCATGTCTTGGTGGAATTAAATATGCTTCCTTGGCATACAATCACATACTTATATAAAGCACACTTACAGTGCCTTACAAAAATATTCAGATTGTTCCTATGATGTTTTTTATTCTGTGAAATTACAAAATGATGGGACACATTTTTAAATGAACATTTTGTTTAGAATCTGAATGCTCAAACTGAAGACTTTTTTAGTTTTAGAGCAACAGTATGTAAAAACTGTGCAGGGATTTGAATAGTTTTGCAAGGTACTGTATATTGGCTGTTGGTACAAGTGTTCTATGACCTACTCATTAAATATATCACATGGATATGAAAGAAGAAGTTATTGTGTGTCAGAATATGCCCAAATACGTATTGAACGGTCCATGCCAGTAGGATAAACAGAATGCTAAAAACATGCCTCCAACCACATATTCCACGCACTCTCTAACATTCACAGTATTCATGTATTTACAATGCTTGTCACCTAATTTTGATTTGTGTAAATATGAAACTATTATCCTTTATTTGAACAACATCAGCTTTTATGGTAAAACCTGAGTATGCAAACATTCTAGCTAAAAATGGAAGTGAACAATATAAAATTCATCTGCTATTCTTCTGTTTGATTAAAAAGCTTTAATTAGCACTAATTGTATGTTGCCAAAGTACATAGAGGCAGTTATGATGATTAACCGTTTTCTGTTGATGACTAAGAGCCTTTCAAACTAGACTTGACTTCACACAGTGCTAGTTATTATTTTCCTTTCAGCTCCTGATTCTCCACACTTCAGAATTAAACGGGTTCCCCTTAGAGAAGCTTGATCTCTTTATGTGAATGGTCAATAAGCATCTTGGCGCCCGTTTTGTGTGCTTGTGTGTGTGCTGGGGGGGGGTGGTGGGATAATTTCAACTCCAGTAAGTAGGTCTATCTCTCCCAGCAGCTCCTGTTTGTTTTTATTGTGTTGAATTCCAGCTGGTGCTGTAAAGAAATGGGTTACTGCTTCTTTTTCACAACCTGCCTCATTTTTCTCATGAAAAAAATGCCACTGTTTATGACTAATAAACAAAGGGAGAGCCTTGTCTTCATGCTCTCGACATGCTGCTCAGCTGTTTGAGTTATGGCTTGATTAAGTAACTCCAAAGGAAGCTCAGACATAGATGTGGAGACCAGCAAGCTGTGTTTCCAATTGGGGTGACAATTATTTTCTCATGTCATCTATGAAACATCTTACGGTGAAGCTCATTTTCAAACTTGATAGCTTTAGTTTTTTTTTTTTCACTGGTGTCCTGACAACTGAGAGGGGGAATGTTGTTTATTTTTTGTATTTTAACACCTATTAGATCCTGGCTAAGGAAGAACAAAATATAAAAATATAGTTTTATCTCATTCAGCGTTTGTTTTTTGCTAAAACAAGAGTTTGCTTCCTTTAAACAAAATTCTGTATACAGTACAAAAGAGAGGTGTGCACTGGAATGGCACCATCCCCCCCATCTCCCCAGTTAGCCCCTCCCTATTCTCATCTGAAATCCATGACTAATCCAGACGAGCCTGAGAGAACCACTATAACATTTGCTTGCACCATGTATTAATCCTCAACAGCTGGAACAGAGGGCGAAATCTGCTTTGCGTTTCTGAGTGCTTGCTATGAGCTCCCTAGAGGAAGGGCTAAAACATACGTTTCAGTCTTTGTTTTTAATCCTCAAACTTTGCATATGGTGAGGACAGTTGATGAGGCGGGTTCTTAGCCTGATATACGGTACAGACTGAGATATTCTGAGCCACTTGTGTTGCACAGCGAAGAATAGAATTTATGTTCAGATCATTTTCTCCTGGAAGGACTGTGGTTGTATTTCTTACCTAATATCAACTTAGCATATCCTCAAGAGAAAAAAAGAACTATTTGAGTTATGATGCAACTGCAGCTGTAAATTGTCCTAGAGAAATAATATACCTATAATTCATTTACTCTTGATTTATTGCAACAAGCAGTTGTGGTAGATTTCTTTTTTTTATTCTAAAGGGCCATAACAATACATTTACACCAGGTTTATACAGCTGGGAACTTTACTGAAGAAATTCAAGTGACGTACAGTACCTTGCTCAGAAGTTCAGGACCCCATAACTTCCCATCTACGTTTCCACACTGCTATCCGCTGTTAAACTGAATGACTCTTTTGACGGCTCTTTCGCAAAAGAAAGTTTGTACTCTAGGTGTTCTTCACCAATATTATACATTAAGTGCAAGCTTAAAAATGTACTAAAAATGAAGGATAATTGAGAACAAGTGACTTATTAGCATAATTCATCTGTGATCCATCTGCTTGAATGCATTTTTTGATAAGATGAATAGAAGGCTTTCTTGAAACAGATGTCACATCAATTAAGGCTATTCTTGAATGGAGCAGTAAAACACTATAGAAATTAACAATCTTGAAGAGCAGCCTGTGGATCCTTATAGTCCATTATTTTCTGTTTTCTAAAATGTTCCACAGTGTCTTTGGATTCAGGTAGAATATTCATTGTCATCTTTATCATCGGAGCATTTCTGATGTATGTGCTCATGTGAGTCCAGTTTCTTGTCTTTCTTTCTGCCCGGTGCTGGGAGTCTGGAGCTTTTCCTTATTTAATTCACTCATTAAACACTTCCTCTTCTCGCTTCTGCTCTGCATGTCTTGTATCCTGTGTTGCTATGATCTCTGAAGCTTATCCAGACACTGAATGTCTCCAAGGTTTGTTGTATATCCCCCCAATGTGACATCACCTTTGTAGTACCTGTTGTTTCCAACAGACGTTTGCTGTCATAGATTAAGATTTTCTTCCAAGATAAGAATGAACAATTATTCTCTACTCAACCCAGGACTTTATTCCTACTCTGTTTTACCACTGTCTAGATGCCAGGATTTGAAACGGGTAATCATTCAAGCGTTCTGCTTTGCATCTCTCTCATGCCACTTCTGACACTTATCAACTCAGGCCGGAATGATGTGATGTTAGCCTGGTTATGCTAGAGATTTACCACCAAATCCCTGGGCTCTGAATTTAACTCCCTAAATCCATTGCGGTCAGAACTGGTGTTAATTCCAGAATTTCTCAAGATGTCTCAATCCACATCATATGTACAGTACTTATCCATTTTATCATATTATCCATGCAAATGCTTAACATCTTCACTGCCTCTTAGCAAAGCATACCTCAGATATAGACCTCTAAATTGTTTTGTTTGATGATTATCACATGATACTGCAAACTGCTTGGGTCTTCACTACATTAGGCAGTAAAAGACGCAGACACTAAACCAATTAAAGATGAAGGACGACTTTATGCTTTGCTGTACCAAAAAAATAAATGCTTGGAATTTTTGCACAAGATATAGCTAATCCATTATGCTTGCAATAGCTGTAAGGTATTATCAAGTAGGAGTGATCTTATCTGTGCAGTGCAATTGTTCAAGTAAGATAAGTGCCTTTTTTCTTCTCTGTTCCAAATCAGATATCAGCTCATTAATGGAAATCAATCAATCAATCAAGGTTTATTTATCAATGCACAAACAGTACAGCATACAGTGGTATTGTAGGCAGTGAAATGGTTTATTTCAGTTTTGCAAACTTTCAGTGTTTCTTTTGTGCTTCAGTGCTGTGATATATCCCTCACTATCATTTTGTCTTTAGTAGGTACTCTATATGTGATTTTCTCTGTGCATTTTCTGTCTTGTGACATTTATTTTAAAAAGTCTAATTGTCTTCTCCTTGCCTGTCATCTCTAGTCTACATTCTAAATCTTTGATGTAATAATGCTTGTTTATTATGATGTGTTACTAGAGCACAAAACAATAACTTTAATATCAAATGCAGAGAAAGTTACACTCACCTTTGAAATGAGATAGGATATAAATGGTAGTAGTACTGCCAATAATGATAGCAGTGCAAGCACAGTCCCAGGTTTTAACTCGTCTGTGCAGCTGTCCATAAAGAAGGGCCTGCATTTGAAAGCTACCAATTTCTACTGTGTCAGCCTCTCCTGTCAGCTCTCAAAATCACAGGTCACCCAGAAGTCAGGGGTTGTAGCCACTTGACAATAGCATGCCAGTAAGAACATTGCAAGCCAATTAGTTTAACGTCCCACTAATACCTATTAAATTCATATTGTGGCAGTACCATGGCTCCAGTACCGTTATTAACAATAATGACCTTTAACAAATACATCACATGGGATTGTGTCTCCAGCAGGACAATATCAGTAGGCCGTTGAATGGACTTTAACTTTCATGGTTTGGATTAAATCACAGCCTGTTCTACATTCAGCTGCTGACAAGGCTGTTTCATTGTCAGAAATCATGTGCTCATGCAAAAGGGCAGCCAGCCCCAGTCTCTAAGCTTTTTACATTGGGACCTAATTAGTCTTATCTAACAAGAACAAAACCTCACCAAACATAATTCTAAAAATACTTTATTTAACTTCTCCTGTGTCATTTCCTGTTGTTTTTTTTAGCAGTCATTTTATACAACAAAAAGATAATATGACAATTGACGTTTGTCACAACATGGCAGAAGACGGACGAGTACTTGGAAAATGTTATCTTCATGAATCCGCTTCCTGTCAACATCTAATGTTTATTTTTTGTGAGTGATGGAGTACATAAAAGAGTTTCCTGCTGTGAAACAAAACAATATACTAATTTCTGCTAAATATTTTTCTCACACAGTATTATTAGAACTATTTTTCAAATGCAATGTTATTGTTCCTAGAATACTACTGAAATGGAAAAATAAAAATTCTGTAGCTCTGGTTATGCATTCAATCAATCAGTTGACTAAATCTCAGGTATCAGTCACTGCAACATACTATGATCAAGCTACAGTTTTTGAACAGTATGAGGTATATTACCAGTGTTTATCGAGTTCTTTTCTTACTGTTATGGCTGTATTAGTTCAGTACTAGGCGCAGAAGTGCTGTAACTATGCTTCCTGGAGATAGTGGGAAAGGGAGAGATTCCACGGCCAGTGTGGAATAGTGCATTTTGGGCTGGGAATGTACACTTCCTGTCACAGCTACAGAGAGGGCAGGTACAGTGTATAATGAACACTGTCAAGGCACCATCTGGGATAAACAGAGTAATTTATTTGATTAACTCTGGATTTAAATCTTAAGACATCTTGAATTATTTTTTAAAAATGCACTTTTTCTTGATTTCGTTATCTCATTACCTGAGAAAACCTTCAATAACCTCCCCATTCAGAAGAGTACAATGCTAGGTGGGAGCCGTGGTAGCTCAGATGGCAAAGGCGTCTAGCTCCTGACCGGAGGGTCCCGGGTTCAATCCCGGTTAGGGGCAAGCGATGTAGCTTGCTCTAATTCCTTCCAGATGGCTCCCAGGTCTACTCAGCCTGCTTTCCAAATGAGGTTACTCCTTCCGGGGGTAATAGGACAGCCGGAGCGTAATGCTGACCACATCACCTCCACTTCTGATGTTGGATAGTCAAGAAAAATGGGGGCCCTTGGGCCCCCATTCCCCAATGGGCCCCTTTGGCCTGAAAAGGGACCTACCTACAGTGCTAGGTGAGCTGGGATTGTGAAATGTAGGAAGAAAAAGACTGAGTCTCCCATATATGTTGATATATTTTTTTTCTTCATAGTTTTCTCTATTCAATAGATTTATGTAGTGTCATTAGTCATTAGTAAGTTTACAGAGATACCATGTCGAATACTAGTTTCTTATACTCCAATATGTGGTGCTCTTTGAGTCTCTTGTCCTGGCACAAAATTTCTTTCTATCATTAACATGGTCACATACCTTTGAATGTCCCTGTCCTTGTAGTGTAAAATTCAAAAGTTTGCTCAAGTTGGGTTTAGAGGCTCTTTGAACTAACGTCTTACATTTCAGGGGTTGAGATTCAGTTAGACCCATTTCTGTTTCCCAATCAGTAGTGAGAAATTGTAAGTGTGTGTGTGTGGGGGTATATTTCCAGTTGCTTGACAATGAGAAGTCACCTCTGCATCACTGCACTGTAATGCTTCTCCCTCCTTCCCTCCGTGCTGTAGTACTGTGAAGAGAACAAGCTCAACAGAGCGCGTTGGGACTCTGGCACGGAGAGAGAGCACTGGGGAGTCCAAAAGCAGCCGTACCCGTGCCGGATCCACCAGCAGCAACTCCAGCGGAAAGAAGAACAGTGAAAGGTAGAGAGGAAGGGAGGGAGGGGTCTGATGGGAACTGGTGTCTGGCTGACCGGGTAAAATCCATGGCATATCCACTGTGCCTCCTCAGGCTAGAACTCCCCCTGGTTGCCTGAACGTTAAGTGGACTGAGACAACATAAGACACCGGTCAAAGGGGTTACTCCCTGTTGGTCCTTACTGGTCCTCATACATTATATACTGTAAAACTGGGTGGGCTAGAGCAACTATGCTCTATGTTGCAGGGTGATACGTGATATGGCCAGCAGCCATATCACCCTGCAACTCACAACTGGCAACCCACTGAAGCTAAGCAGGTGTGAGCCTGGTCAGTACCTGGATGGGAGACCTCCTGGGAAAAACGAAGGTTGCTGCTGGAAGATATGTTAGTGGGGCCAGCAGGGGGCACTCACCCTGTGGTCCACGTGGGTCCCAATGCCCCCGTATAGTGATGGGGACATTATACTGTAAACAGGTGCCATCCTTCGAATGAGACGTTAAACCGAGGTCCTGACTCTCTGTGGTCATTAAAAATCCCAGGGCGTTTCTCGAAAAGAGTAGGCGTTTAACAAATACCAATATACATTTAGATATATTTATACCTGTTATCTGTGTATAATGCTACATTATTGCATGTGATTTGATGTTGGAAACCCTTCAACTCATTGGAAAATGACATTCTTTTTGGAAAAGGTGCATTAATAAAATCCTTAATACTGTATATTGCACTTTGTCGTAAATCTTCTGACCTGCTCACGGATGTTTTTACCTTGTCACAGCAAACCGAAGGAGCCGGTGTTCAGTGCAGGTAAGGATGTTATTGTTTTGTAATGTACTGTGATGTCTCATTTGCTGTAGTGGCTGGTTCCATTCATGAAAGCAAAAGCACACTCAATTTGCTCATCAGTTCTGTTGCCATTTTTCATGGCCATCTGTTTTCCTGCTGTTTATTTTCACTAGGAAGCCTATAAGGAGTCTATTGCTGATAATTTAATGTTTATGCAAGAATTCATCAAAAGTAGCATCCATTAGGCGGCATTTAATGTTATCGATTAGAGATTAAATAAATATGTGCTAAATTGGAAATCATGCTGTTTTAAGCTGTTGAACATATGGCCTGTGTTTCAGAAGACCCTACATAATCTGCCATGTTTTTATAATTTAATTTCTCATTTCGTGCAGCATTTCATTTCATTGATTTTATTTTGTGTGGATGCAGTATTAGTATGGTATAAAATAAAACAAAGGCACACCTTTATATATTATTTATATAGTATATATAATTATATATACCTTTTTAAATTGATGGATACATTCATGCACTTTAGTTTTATATCAAGTAATGGATTTGTAACAGGGGAAGCTAAATTAGAATTGTTGGCTCATGATAGTCTGCCTGTGGTCTGCTCTGTTTGGGCAACAACAAATACCCACCAGCTTGATTCTATAATGACAGTGTAGGTGGTATGAGATTGTGTCAGGAAAAAATAAAGCAAATAAACTTAAAAACCACCCATTTTTTTAAAATAAAATTTTAATGGAAAGACATCTCTCGTACTGTTAGGATATAAAACACACACCTTTACATTCCTGTGGTGTCAGTGTTTGATCCTCTCTTTATCTGTGAAAAGTCTTTTAAAATTCTTATCTTTTTATCATTCTCTTTCCTTTGTCTTTGCTCATCCTTTGCTGTCTTGTTGAAAGAAGTGAGAGGAGGGCACTAAGGCACTGAAACAGGAGATCCGAGTTTGCCTTGATATTCTGATGGCAGATTTCTTGTTGCAGAGACTCGGGCAGGAGAACAAAGCAGATGAATAATGTAGGGAGACATTAACGGAGGTGTAATGTATGCGCTGTTTGTGGAATTGTTAGACCTCTCAGTCCTGCTCTTGTAAAGGGGTTACAGTTAATAGAGACGACCAAAGAAGTCAGATGGGAATGAAGTCTTTGCGTTCCATCATGCATTCCATGTGAGTGAATGTGGTGGAACTTGTTAGTCTGGTTGGCACAGAGTCATAGTTAGTGATCACTTGGAGTTATGGGGTTGCTTGAAGAGAATTCTCTTCTCATCTCTAGCTGCCTAGAAGGAACATTGAAATACAGGTTACTGTAATGGGTTTAACAAAGTACTAGGTAAGCATGAGTGCATTCCTCTTGCACATCTTCACTTCCTCATTCTGTCTCTGTCTCTATAACCCCAAGGGATGCGACGGGTGACACACTGCAAAGGTAGGCCTCGTTTCTCAACCCCATCCAGCTTTTGAAACGTTGCCCTTTGCTGGGGCAAGTGGCCTTTGCAATTTGGCAAAAAGCCCTTCTAACGCCTCACCTCCCAGCCTCGTCCTGCAGAACAGGGTGGAGAATGGCTATCTGATCAGGATCAACTCTAAAACAAATTTCAAACTTTTGAAAATGTTCCCATGGGCATTAGGCCCCTTTGAATTTTAGAAAGATCTTACTGATTTGGAAAAATCAGTAGATGCATACTTAAAATACAACGGTTCTGGAAGTAGGTTGGGACTGGAAGTACGGGGGAGACTGACTAATGAACCTGCCCAGTCTCCCTGGATTTTGTGAGTCACGGGTATGATGCACAGTATTGTGCTAGGCACATGGTTGTGTGTGAAAGTAACCTCTTTCCCCACGTTTCCCCAGTTCCCCACTGCGGACTAATGTTTGGTTTTCTCTAACACCCACTCACACTTTAATGTACTTGTTTTTGTCCTCTGTTATTGCATTAGTTTGATACTGTAGTTGCATAGTGCTTTTCAACTAGATTTATTAGTCCTCTATAAAAAGCTCCTTTGTATTTCTACAATTACAATAGCACCCCTACAAAGCATTGATATTTTCTTGATGCTGCTCAATTTAATTACTTCACTAAAAAGCAGTATTTCATGTTGCTTAATGCTATTTTTAAGCCATTATTATTTACATCAAAACAATTTGTTTTCATTGGAGGAAAAACAAACTAGGCTGTATATTTAGCATTTAAGTATAATCTTATTCTTTTGATAGTGGTTCTCATCATGTTGTTTTTCTAGACTGAACAGAAGGTTGTTTTGGGTTCGCCACTTATTCTCAATTAGTTTTCACTTTGAATAATAAATACACAAGAACATCAGAAAGTTCACAGAGGAGATTAGAGCAGGCAGCTCATCTAACTTGGCTGATATAGCACGTCTCTGTCCTGAAAGTCAGCTGTTAGTTTAAATTTGTAACAGAGGCATATGTAAAAAGTAAGCAAAAAGAAGGAGAAAATAACAGGGTTAAATATTAAAATACTTTCTGAAATCTGGGGTCAATGTGGGGGCATGTTCTTCTATTATAAACTCTTGCCTGAGATAGGTTTGATTTGGTACCAAACGTTTTTGCACAATATATTTTTCTAAAACAAGGGTTAGGCCCAGGCAAAACAAGGTGGATTATATACAGCCTGCCCAGTGTCTCTCCTCCCTGTATCCAGGGCTCTAATCCGGTTAGAGACCAAAATATACTGCTGACAAATCACCACTTCACAATTTCGCCCAGCTCTGACTAAATAAGTATAGTATTCTAAGCTATGCACGTCTAGAAAACCGTTTATGTGGTCAGAATAACAGAATTAACATACAATTTTAGAGCAGAACAATTTGTTAGGATTATTTGTTGCCTCCAGTATTTTATAAAGTAAATTTGAAACCTAGGCAAAAGCCTTTGGGTTGTATGTATTTGTACATAGTTACACAAGTACGTTTATATTATTACCACTACAGTATTTTTGTCACTTGGGTGTTAAGCCTGTACGCACAATGAAGCAGACCTTTGAAATAACCTGGGGTTTTTTGCATCACATTGGTGATAGATAGCTTGTCCCGTTCTTGTGTATGTAGACTTCCTTTGTCTGTCCGCCTATAGTGTCATTTTTGAATAGTAGTTAAAGCCTTTATGAAGGTTTGTTGCTGTAAATAGAAATTCATTTTTTTAGTTTCTTATTCTTGTTACATTTCCTTTTACTTTTGTTTACCATGCTTCTTTCAATGGCTTACCATACCTCTTCATGCTTTATGGTTAATTCATTCCTGTGTACTGCACTTTAATGCTACAGTATATTATATATTACTATGCCAAAGTACACATTTACAAGGGAGATTATATTAGCAGTAAATATGTTGTCTTTGTTTTTTTTAAGGTGTTGTTTGCTATCATATTGACTCGTAACTGCTCTGTATCAATTCTGCCCTGCCCTCTCCACTCCCCACCTCCCCATCCCTTTCCAACTTGACCACTTTACCTAGTAACTGTACAGATATTTCTGAGCCACCCGCAAAAAAGGATTGGATCTTCTGAGGCCCAGTCCCCGATCACAGGGGTGCTGACTACCCAGCCCAAGTGCATGACCCCTGATTTGGGGACCACATCTGAACAATCCTCAGTCAAAACTGGAGTTCGGAAGGCCCCATCTTTCATACTACCCTTCCCAAAGAGCCCCAGCCAGACAGTGCTTGAAATGTCTCGCTCTCCCAGCTTTAAAAGCCCTCTCAAATCTCCTAGCCAGTATTTCCAGATTTGCTACTAGCTATAGTTTCTTAATCAAAATGGAAGAAATTATTTTTAAAAGAAGTGTCTGTGTTATTGTAACAGTTATTAATGAAAAAATAAATGTAAAGATTTTGTCAACATTTTTCCACCTTTTTGTTTGACTTTTTTTTAATTTATCTCTTTGCAAAGCTTTTCTGTGTCCTGCTGTTCTGATGGCTGTGCACCATTTTGTGGGTTTTATTTTTGCTCTTTTTGGCTTCAACATCTTAAGCATCTGTTTTTTTTTCTTGTCTTGTATTCATTCTAGTCTTTCAACTGCATGATTCACATTTAAACATTGTCAAGCTAGCTAACAAGACAAACTGCTTTCTATTCACTGCCCTGTCAACAGCTGCATGTTCTAAGACTGTATTTTAAATGGCTAATAAAATTAATTAAAAGCCCGCATTCCTGTGTCTATTGAACCATCATTTCTTCTTCACATTTCATTATTTACTACTCTTCTTGTACGCCCTGCTTGCTTACTGATTAAAAGAGCAGATCAGCCTTTTGAAGCTCTCTGTCCTTTTATAGAGGAAGGGTATGTGAAAATGTATTTGAGAGGGCGTCCCGTTACCATGTACATGCCTAAAGACCAAGTGGAATCCTATAGCCTGGAAGCAAAATCGGATCTGCCGGCCAAGAAGCTCAAACTGGACTGGGTGTATCCTTTTGTGTTGAAAAAACACATCTGTAAACTTGCTTTTTTCTGCAACACTTTGATTTAACTCAAGTCTGAGAGCAACTCAGATGCAGGTTTTAATTGAATAGCATGCGTCTGAGTTCATAACTGAGAGGTAGTTAGATCCGTTGTTATAAAATTTAAGCAAGCACGAATTTCCTTGTTTTATTTACAAACAATAAAAGTCACCGGATACCAGATTTCTAATTTGCCATTGGTGTCGATTTCATTTTAATCTGTTTTTAAATAACATAGTATAATTGCTTTGTTTTTCCCAACTGCTACAGTGGGGAAATAAAAACAAATTACTGTTGTTTCTGCAAAATTAGAGAACACTGAAGAGAATGTTCTTTTCATTTTTTCTAAAGCCATGGTCACTGATTCTTTAAGATTATAGTAATAAGTTATGTTGTTTATAGGTTATTGTAATCCTTCTGTTAATGAAACATATAATTTGGTAAATAAAAGTGAAATACAGCTTGGTAATTCAGTACTTGCTTAAAATGTTTGGTTAACAGCACAGAGTGCACTGCTTGTATATTCAATGGGTATGGTGTTTTTTAGATGAGAAAATCCTTTAGGAAACAAAAATAAAAATGAGGTTCATTTCCTGCACTTAATTTTCTTCAGAAACAAACAACTATCCTTCTCCACATCAGCATTTGATTTTACTGGTGAGACAGAAGGCTGAGTCATTGTCTCTTCCAGTAGGCGCTCAGCTAGACTGGTACCGAGTGTGACTATTGTAGGTCATAATTTATAGAGAGACAAAGTCTTGCTTTTTTTCCTGTTGACTTAGAAAAACAGTATCGGTTTCATCTGAAGGTGCTTTTCATCACAAATAAGAAGCAGAGGAATCTCTTTTCCAGTTTTATCCATCCATCCTTTTTCAGGAATCACATTATCCTTAGTTGAGATGAGCTGGTGCCCAAACTGGTGGGTTCAGTTTCATACTCAAGTTTATAAAAAGGATTGATAGTGTGAGACATGAGTGAGAAAGACAAGATTAGCAGCACTTGCATTTTGTGGGTAGTACTTTTTGCAATTTCACATTATGCCACTTACACCTCTGTACAAGTTGTCAGTGCAGATGTTATCCCTGGCTCACTAAGAGAACTCATCTTTTATGGGAGGACAAAAACTAATTTAAAGGTTTCTGGGGACATGTCAAATTGTGAGCTGTTACCCAATTAGAATTTGATGAAAGCATACTACACTGAGTGAGTGAAATTTTGTTCTCACACAGAAGCACTTGATTTTCTTTTTTGAGTGAAGAAAGAAAGGCAATAAACCAGTAATTGAAATCTCAATACCCCAGTTTGCTAAGAAAGTTTAGAGGAATCGCATAACCTGTAAAGTTGAAACACGGCACTGAAATGGTTTCTGTATTCCCTTACAAAAACTTGTCTTGAATAACCTATAGTGTGCACTTAATTTTTAACATGGCTTCTTTATTTTTCTGTTTATCCTGCTTTTTACTAGAGAACTACATGGTTGCCTTCCATAACAGATACATGCCGCTGGCCTTAATGATTCTATGACTGCTCTAGCAATTCATCCCAGGAAATACAATGCTTATTAACTTGAGTGGAAATATTAACTGCTATTCCTTTTGAGCTAAGTGTAGCTTTTTAGCCCTTTTCAGGATTTAATATGTACGGTAGCATAATGTGCTCTATGACCTATTTCTTAGTTCTACTTTTTAAAACTGTACATACTGTACAGTACCACCTGTATTATGCTGCATTTGTACTACTATGTTGCTTGGTTTTGCTTCTTGACAAAGCTGCAGTTATGGATACAGGGGTCGAGACTGTCGCTCCAACCTGTATCTCCTCCCCACTGGTGAGACGGTCTACTTTATTGCCTCTGTGGTGGTGCTTTACAATGTGGAGGAGCAGCTCCAGAGACACTACACGGGGCACACCGATGATGTCAAGTGGTAAGGCCTGGAAGAATGTGTCATTTCCATTTTAATGTAGGTCTCTTGCCTATTATTCTTTGACTCATTTAGAAGAGTTTTATTCATAGCCATGTTTAATTGTTTTTGGGAAGTATGATACTTTAATTATGGCAGGTGACATTCTTGCATCTTCAAAGAGAGCTGACAGCAGTTAATCATACCAAAGAATGAACATTTCATTTTGCTAACAAGAAAAGGTTGGATGTCATGATCACATTCTTATTTGGAGTAAATGTATTGTCTGTCTTGACAATGAATATCATCACTTCAGTCTGGGAATACAAAATGCAGATACGACAAAAGGTTTTTCAGTTGATGACATTTCACGGCAGGGTACTGAAATTCAGGTTACTGTATTTTTAAGGTTCACTTTCTTCTGACAAAACAAAAGACAAAAGGGGGGTTAAAACAATTGAGAAGCTGGTATGTGTTTTAGAGCCAGACAAACATAAATAACAATAGAGTAAATTATGTAGCCTGTTTAAATTCACCAAACTAATAGAAGGCAGCAGCTGAAAGGTTAATACGTCCACAGTGTAACTGGAACACCAGAAGCGTTGCTATAGTAGAATTAAGTTGACCATGAAAACCCATTATATAGCTCACATTATTGATTAGACACCTTTCAAAATCTCAAAGGGCATAACTACAGCTTATGAATTTAATAAGCGAACATGGCAAGTGGAGAAGAGATAAGGTAACATCAGTTTATTTGCCGTCTCATTCCCTCCCTCTCACTCTCATCATATCTTCTCTTTTAGCCTTTTCACATTATTCCATGTTTGTGTTGCTAGACTGAGGGTTTTATAAATGTCGCATTTACAACATCATATTCCATTTACGTTCAGAATACCAGAGATCATGTATCATTTACTCAATGTAGTTGTTTCTTTGTGGAGTTAATATATTTAAGAGCAGTTGTCATCATGATGGTATGAGTCTAAAACTGGCATATTATTTAATGCATTCATCATCAGTGTTGTAGGGTTTAAGCTATTGACAGGATAGTCTTGAAAGAATGTGCCCTTGGAAGAATGACACGTTAAGCATGCACTCTCTCACTCTCTAGTGGTACAGTAGGTTGCTAATAGAACAAAATGTAGCTTCAAGTGCTTAATTAAGTGTAAAGTAACCTTTTGTTTCTTGATTTGTTATTTAACATTTGATTTCTTATATCTGTCAATGTCTCAGTGTTTTGGTGTAAATGCACCTGTTTTGTTTTCCAGGTTTGCTGCACCAGAGAGATTAATACAGCATTATTTACATGTAGCCCAGAATTGACAATATGCCTTTGTTATCAGGAATTCACATAACATTTCATACCTGTACTTATTTCTGTACTATGTAAATGTTTCCCTGGTGTAAGTGCAGATAGAGTATTGGTGAATAATTGTGTGTCTCAGAATAAAGATATTACCAGCAACAGAGAACTTGCATACTGTAAGGCAGACTTTGAAAGATATACTATTGTTATGGATCGCTGATTAGTTTGTCACTGAACAATTTATATTCAGCATTTTCCTGATTACTGTAAATCGCAGCTTTTAAGGGAAATTTTTCTTTTAGTTTTGAACTGATGTTTAATACATAACAATGTTATCTGATTCATTGTTTTAATATAGCTATTATTGAAGAATTCATATGTAAGTAATTGACCTTTTGTGGACATTCTGTATCATCATGTTGTCTACTGCTATAATTTGACTCTCTTTGTACATTTGGAAAGTAATGTTAACTACCTCCAGAAATTTATGCAACAGAACTTAAGATGCAGTTACTTGCTATAAAATATAAATATAAACGTTAATTATCACATAAACGGAAATGTGGCAAAAATAATATGAAAATGAACATGTAATAGGTTTATTCCGTGCTAAAAAGAGAAGGGAGAAAACAAAGTTTCGGCTGAAACATTGTGTTTTCTCTCTTCTCTTTTCAGCATGGAATAAACCTATTACTTGTTCCTTTGCAGACTATGCATGCTGACGCAGCTACCCACCTGAACTGCTATAATATGAAAATTATGATTACCATGATTATTATTGTTGTTACTGTTACTGTTTAAGGTTAAGTAAATGTAGCAAATGCAGTTGATTTCCTCATCTATAAACTATGGCGTTGGCGGAACGTCCTTGTTTCTAGTAACCTCTTAAAAATTTCATCACATGTCTGGCTCTGGTCTGTGTGTTTGGCCGGGAGCAGAGTTTTTGTGTCTCTAGAGAGTAGCAGGAGCACAGTTCACTGGCCTGTACTATCTCCTGCTGGGCAGTGCTGACTACATCACAAACTGGCAGAACAACTCTGGATAGGCTGTCTCTGCTCTTTTCGTCAGAAGGAAGTCTTGTATACCAGTGTGTGTGATAACTACAGCTCATTAGCTCGTTGCAGTAATAGAGTATAAGGCTTGTGCAATTTTTAAAAAAATTAAATGTTTTTCTCACATTAACATCCTTGGTTCCAGTGTTTGACATTTTAATTGGTGACTGCTAACTTTTCTCCATATTATTGTTTTAGGATTAAATGTTCATTTCAGGTTTTTAATGATCCTACTGATTTTTTGCCCACATCTCTCTTGTGTGTTCGTCAGCCTAGCAGTCCACCCGGACAAAATCACAATAGCAACAGGGCAGGTCGCAGGTACATCCACTGATGGCCGAGTAAGTGATTCTTCTTTCATGACATTACAGGAACACTCAGTCTTCCCTCATCCCAGTACATCTCAGCCCATTTGGGCTGAAACACAACCTGACATGCCTGTGTACTCAAGTCCAGCGTTTCTTAGCCAGAGATGTATGGGTTTTTGCACTACAGTGCAAGATCAGTCATCAGTAATATGGACCATCAGCAAGGTAGCTAAAGCAGATTATGAAATTAAAATGCCTTACTGCCTGCTGAAGGGTATTCCCTTTGATTCTAAAAAATAATTTTAGTTTTACTTTTAGAATTTTTGTTACCATGTGGCATAACATGGTTTGAATTAATATTAATATCAATAGAACTATCTAGTTTTTATTCTTCATCTGAAGCAATCCACTCTCACTGCCATTTAAGGATCCACTGCCCCCTTACAACATGGGCCCACCTTAAATTAAGAATGCCGCCTGTCCTGCCTTCCCTTTCACAATTACCCAGTCGATTTGCACAGAGTGCTGTAAGCAGCATGAGCTGATGATAACTGTATGGCTTCAAGCTGGGGCCTTGCAGTGTGTTTAGTGGGTCTAGGCAAGGACAGTAAGAGTGTTTTTCTCTGTCTTTGCAGCAGCTTCCCCCTCACGTGCGGGTCTGGGACTCTGTGAGTCTCAACACACTGCATGTCATTGGGACTGGGTTCTTTGACCGGGCGCTGGCCTGCATTGCGTTTTCCAAATCGGTGAGTCCAATTATAAGTTGTCTTTGTCATTACTGCATTTCTATCAGTCCCTTTGAGTATTGGTGTACACTGTTGGGAGACCAAACTAATCATTCACAGAGGCTCAAATAACCCCATTGACTTGCACTTAAGAAATTAGTCACTTAATTTGTGAGGTTGGGATTGTGGAGCTTATTGTCAGGGTTACTCTACTTATTGTTTTGGTGCACTTTTAGTCCTTTAAGAAAGGAAAAGGCTCTGTTCCATCTCTGACTCTCGGTCTGTGTGCAGAATGGAGGCAGCACCCTGTGTGTGGTGGACGATTCCAATGACCATGTCCTATCAGTGTGGGAGTGGCAGAGAGAGGAGAGGCTCGCTGATGTCAAGGTACTGGAGCATTTACCAAAAACCTTAAAGACACAAACAGCTGGGTTTCGTTAAACCTCTAGTAAAGCAGGAAAAACAGAAATGGAACATCAAAATAACTGTGGAGCATCTGCTTTATGTATCTGCTTGGCTTGATACCAGTCACAAGATAAATCTCTAAAGTACTATGCTATAATAAGCAGGACATAAATAAAAGTGTGTTACTGTATGTGTACTGTTGTTAATTTCATAGAAATTCTTCCTAGATATTTTATTAAAATATAAATGTGAAGATTTGACTTTAAATTAGACTTGACAAACAACATGCAAAGCACATTTAGTCATATACAGTATGTATATAATAGCTAAAATATCAGTAATAGTGGATGTACCTAATTTAAACTGGAACAGCATCCCTATTTTAAATTTCAGGGTTGGAAAGAATCAGCGTTGATCAGTGCATTTCAAACCACAATAACAGTAAAATGTACATAGTAATTTGTAAAATCACAAATCACAATCTATGTTCTGTGATTCAGAATGAGGCAATGAAACTTCTGGTGAGGTGAAGTGGCCTTATTACATTGTAAACAAGCAGGCTTCTGAATACATCTCTTTTAATCCAGTAGAAATATTGTTCACAACATTGAGACGGTTTTATTGACAATTACTACTTGTTATTTCTGCATGCAAATCACATTGGAACATTCCTGCGGTGAAGTGTCTGCTGCACAACCTGTACTTACTCACTTCTCCTTTGCATTACATTAGTTGTTAGTTATGACTAGTGAGCAGGAAGGGCCACATCATGTCAAAGTTTGTGGGAACTCTCACTCTAACCCCTGACAAGACAATCATCAATGAATTTATTTGTTACTGAGATTTAATAGCCGGTGTGAGATATTGGGACTGCAGTTCCCTTTTAACAGTTAAGTTCTGTGTGACCAGTGTGCTTATTTCATAGGTTTCCCAGTGGTCTGTGTTGACATCACATTAATGTTTTCTCACTCAGTGCTCCAATGAGGCAGTGTTTGCAGCAGATTTCCATCCCACTGATACCAACATCATCGTTACCTGTGGAAAATCTCACCTGTACTTCTGGACTTTAGAAGGAGGCTCCTTGATCAAGAAGCAAGGATTGTTCGAGGTAAAATCACTTCACTGGAATGAGATTCTAATACTTTTAATTTAAAAAGAGTTTGAACATCTTTTTAGAATATATTTTAGAAAGTGATGCCGAAAAAATACAATAATGTCTATATCTAAAATTAGATTAGAATTTTTTATTGGCCCACAACAATAGTTGATGGAATTCGCTTTTGGTACAGAAAGAGAATGCTGATGGAGCAGATATACAGTACAACGTGCTTCATTGTTTTCACATTTTAACTTGGCTTTTGCACATGTTTTTGAATGTGACAATTTTACCAAAGCCTGTTACCTATAACCTATAGCCATAAACCTATTAGATTTAGCCTCCAAACTATTATTAAGTTTGCAATGAGCTTTTATATTCTCTGTATGAACATTTTTTCTAACATTTGTTTTCTAATTCTACAAATAGTAAACCAGGAAATATTTATGTTTCTTGCAGAAACAAGAGAAGCCCAAGTTTGTCTTGTGTGTGACTTTTTCAGAAAATGGAGACACAATAACTGGAGACTCTAGTGGCAATATCCTGGTCTGGGGAAAAGGTAAAAGAATATGCACCTGACATCTAACTCTGTTTTTAAAACTGAGTGTAATATGCTTGGATCAATAATAGCACTAAGCTTTTATCATTCCTTAACATGAGATAGACTCAGTCTTATTCAGTTTATAAGCCTTCATTTTGGGAGCTTTTAGTGTGGATTGCAAAGTACTGTACTGTAAGTGTATGATGCCACTTTAATGCAAAATACCATGATTGCAATTAGGATTTGTTTCCATAGCAGATTAAAAAAACCTGTATCTACAAATGCACACGTGGTGTTGTTTGTATAGTGATTCTGGCTATGCTCTAGGAAAGGACTACGGGAATTGTTCTAATGTAACAAGCAATACTGTATGTGTCTGTGTCTCAGAAAAGGTTTGCTTTTTAAACCCACAGCTCATGTCCCAGCTGTCTTTTTCTTTGCCAGAAGCAGTGCTCAGTGCACTGAGCAAGTTCAGATGTGATGTCACCCTTCTCTGAAATCTGGACGTGTCAGGAGCCAAGAATCAAATACGAGCAGGACAGAGGAGAGCTACACTCATCACACCTTTGAACATTTTTTTCTGTCTTCTATCTTTTTTTGTTTTGCAGGTACTAATCGGATTACCTATGCCATTCAAGGGGCACATGAAGGAGGCATCTTTGCACTTTGTATGTTACGCAATGGCACTTTAGTGTCAGGTGGTGGAAAAGACCGCAAGCTCATCTCTTGGGATGGAAACTACCAGAAGATACAGGCTGTGGAGGTGAGGGGATAACTACCAGTGACTCGCATTTCTTTTTTTATAACTTATAATCATTATTACCTCCTCTTCCCGATTTGGAATAGCCAGTTGTGTTTTACACATTTTGGCTCTCAGCTACTTAATGTGCTACCGAATACAGTGGAGAATATAGTTTAGGCAGATTCCTGACTGCCCAAATTTGAGTTACTTGGCTTGTAACGTCCCACTCTCATACTGGAGGTTCAGCTCCCACTGGAGGATATGCCCGTACCACACACACAGCACGTCATGCCGGCAACCACCCAGGAGGCAGAATAATCCCACCCTGTCCTCAGTCACAAGCTAAAGACATGACCCAGGTTCAAATCCTTGATACTGGAGCTCAGCCTGTGCTCAGCTGATTGCATTTACCAGTTGGGACCACAGAAGACTTCATATTCATTGGAAATATGCAAGCCTGACTCTGGAGCAGAGAGGCTGGCTCCCGTATAACACCACTCCAGTAGAGTCCCTTTGCTTTGTGAATAGTGAAATTGAAATATTTGTGTACAACTAAAAATCTTTCCAAAATACTTGATCTAAGTTCATCTGTTATCCTGCAGCTCCTCAAATACTGAGCTTTAATATATGGGTCTGGTAGTCTGTTACAGAGGGTTTTCAGGTGAGTTTAAGTTTTTAAAAATAAAGCAAAATTGTATGCCATGGGACTATCTGGGCAAGTTTTTAAAAACATTTTTAATCAGTCTTTCACAGTGGCACCCCATAGATAACATAAAAATTCACAGGACTATTTATTCTTTAGTGTTCATTAAACTTTCCGTAAAGATCAATTTACGATTTATGGATGAATGATACAATCGTTTGGATGACTGAACGCTTGCAATGTGTTCCTCCTGTTATTCATAACTCACAACTTGTTGTTTGTTGCAGTTATTTCATCGATGCTACATTTCAAATCCCTTGTTTCCTGCCTGTATACCAGATTACTATGGTTAAGGATTATCAGACAAAAATGCTCTGGTGAACTGCAAATTTTATGAAAAGGTGTTGCTTTTGGCCCGAGGTGTCCAAATCAGTCACCCAAATAGGTTGTCCTTTTACAGTTTGAGGGAATAACAGTATACTGTAAATCTACACAGAGAAAACCTGTAATTTAAAGTGCTTTCAGTGGCCTGTTTTGGTCAATGTGACTGAGCTGTTGCAAAACAGAAAGCAGATCTCAGTGATCTGTTTCCCAACTGCAGCTTTTTCATACTGGCTATTCCAAAGAAAAGTTTAATTTCTATCCCAGCTGGTGCTAATTATTGAAAAAAAATACTTCAGTATTTTACTTCAGAGGCCAGTGGGTCACATATGGTATGAGATTAAGTATATCAAGTATAGAACTTTTCTGCAGAGGAACAGTGGCCTGTCTGAATGAGACCCGTTTCATTACTTAGACTTTACACTGACATGTTATTGTGAGCAATTGCTTTCTGGTTAACAGAAAGGTATTGGCTATTCCTGTAGGTCTTAATGTGGGTTTTAAGTCAGGGACAGCGTATGATCTGGATAAAAATGTTAAAATTAATAAATTATTTAAATTAGCTCAGTTGTGAAGATGGACTAAACACCCATTTGTGCTTACATAAATACCAGATGTAAACATATAAAGACTGGGGTCTTGTATATGTGAATGATTAAGGTGAGAGGAAAGAAAATGGACTTCATATAAGTATGGACATGTACTGTAGCACCTCCATCACAAATAATACAATGAGAAAACCATTGATGATTAGATCCATTATATACTGCAATTTGACATAATTGGTTCTTAAAGTGTTACTTGGCCCAACATATAAACATTATTGTATTACAGTTCACATATGCACGGACTCCTCAAACCCACCTTGTTTAGTTCAAACCACTGGTAGCCTACTTACTGATCATTTACTGCTTACTTATTAGTTACTTATTAAACATAACTTTAATAAACTGTTTAGGTAATGCCTTTGTATTTTGTTGACTAAGAAACCTTGTTATCCCCATGCAAAGATTCCTGAGCCATATGGACCTGTTCGTACAGTGGCCGAAGGCAAAGGGGACTGCGTGCTCATCGGCACCACCCGAAACTACGTTTTACAAGGCACTTTATTCGGGGACTTCATCCCAATTACCCAGGTGGGAACATCAATCCAGGGCAGTGCAATGTTGTCCCATATTTCTGCATATACAGTAGTAAGGTATTTTGATAGTAAGATAACTTTAAACTATCTGTCCACTTTCTACCAATATGAAAAAGCTGGGATGGGCAATATACATACCAGATGATCAAAGCAAGAATATGGGTTGTAAATATTTTACTCTTTTTAGGAGTTCACTGCAGATTTGTCTAAGAAAATTATAAGGAAGAGTTGTGCAGGCTGTGGTAATAATATTGTACTTTGGTTTTGTGTGTCTGTGTGCTACTGGAATCCCCTAGTCTAGTGCATGCATATGAGCTGTGAGCTCAGCTCACTGTGAGGAATTCCAAACCATATCCCAAGGTTTTGAGTACTGCCTTGTACTACTGTCTTGGGGTTGGAGAGTCTTTAGATCCTCAAAAACCTTCTTCATCCTCTTTTTAAGTGGTGAGGAATTAAACCATGCTCAGTTGTCATCAAAAGAGTCAGTAATGTAGAACAAACATGTTTCAGGGCCACACTGACGAGCTGTGGGGCCTAGCAGTGCATCCTTGGAAACCGAACTTCCTGACCTGTGGACATGACAAGCACATCAGCCTCTGGGACTCTGTCACACACCAGCCCATTTGGAGCAAAACCATGGATGTATGTAGGCCCTGACATCTGCCTCTTACTGCTTCACGCATTGCTCAACTTCACCAGCATGCCCACAGTATTGTTAATAATAAGAATGCAAATTTACTCTTAAAAGTGTTTTTCAAATGCAGAAAGCTTTAATCTGTTTGTATTTTTTTCCTGGAAAGCAGCTACTTACCTAATTATTATCATACATTTCAAAGCTTTAAAGTCTGTGGCTAATTTTTTCCAACCAATTATGCAATATTTGCTAGTTAATGTACCCATAAGTACACTATAATGTTATGTATTTATGTTAATATTACTATAGATGTGCTATGGTATTAATAATTAAGTGAGTGTGGGAAAATTAAGACTGACCTGAACTGTGGTTGACATTATGAATAGTTATGTAGTTATCTAACAATATGAAAATAATATGACTTCAAGTTTAATTGTACAGTAATTATGGTTTACATTACTCTAAAACTAGGTGATCCTTGGCAGAGTTCATTATGAGCTGTTAAAAGACTTGACCACACTTGTATTAGCAGTCTGGTGCCCATGTCTGAACACCTCTCTTTACCCCTGAACTTGGCAGGATGCAGCACAATCAGCGGGTTTCCATCCATCTGGATCTGTTGTTGCTATAGGAACACAGACTGGCAGGTACTGTATGTCTGATTGGCACTCCTCACTGTTCATGAGAATTGTGTGTGCTCTGTGGCCACTGAGTGGTCTAGTTTAAGTGGAGCAAGGGTGACACCTGCTGGCCACTAAAGCACATACAGAAGAGGGCTAGAATGTGGGTTACATTAATGTACAGTAACAGTGTAGCCAAATCTTTCTTGTATTCACACTACTATTTTGTCTTTCATTTCAACTAACAGCTAGAGTCATTGCTAAGAACAAAGGTATAAATTAACATAAGACAGTAGGAAACATCTTTAGAACCTCCCAAGTATTAATGATGACCAGTTACTAATGTAATGATATTTGTTGAGGCAATTAAAAGCAGTTTCTAAATTTGACAACTGCTTTATGTGCTAGCAGATTTTTATGTGGAATGAGGGCTGGGGGTGTGTCTGTGTGACTGTGCCTTTTATCTTGTGCAGGTGGCTCGTTCTGGACACCGAATCCAAGGACCTGGTGACTGTTCACACTGATGGAAATGAGCAGTTGTCTGTTATGCGCTTTTCACCAGGTTAGCAGGAAAGCTGTTTTCTCCTGCTCTCTCACTTTCTGAACTCAAGCATTGCTCATGCAGGTCATGAAATTGTAAAATTCTTTGTAGAAGGTACTGGTGCAGTATACATTATCTGTGTTGTATGGGTTTTAAATACAGGGCTTGCAGCATGTTAATTATACATCATGTGAACTCTGAGCTGTTTGTATTGCAAACTATTTGATAGCTCTTTGGTCTGCAGTGTAAAGATTAATTTTCTTAAAATGACTCTGGTACTATAATGTAATTTTGATCAGATAACTTTATGCATACTTAAAGCATTAATAGTCTTTATGAACTGTTAATGCATTTTCACATTCACTTTCTTTGTTTTCAGATGGTAATTTCTTGGCAATTGGATCACATGACAATTACATTTATATCTACGGAGTTAACGAGAATGGCAGGAAATACAGTCGGGTTGGAAAGTGTTCGGTATGTGTCCAAATTCTTTTGGATATTCTGAAGTAGTCAGAACTTTATGCTGCTTTGGTTTTCCTGTATCATTGGTGTTGATCTGCACATCACAGTGTTTTTTGAATGGACCAGGATTTAGCTACAGTACATACAGTTTTTGCAAAAAAGTCAGGAGACTAATGCGAGTATTTCTGCTCTACAGCAGTATCCATGAAAAAGATGGACTATAAGAATCCTAATGGAATGCATCCTTTGCAGAACCTTCTCAATCAAGAATGCTGTCCAATTGTGCTGCAAGATAAATAGGGCTTTGATCACCTCTCTTGTTTTCTCTTAGGGTCACTCCAGCTTCATCACACACCTGGACTGGTCAGTTGACTCACAGTACCTAATGTCAAATTCAGGGGATTATGAAATTTTGTACTGTAAGTAATACTCTGTGGATGTAAACAAACATGACATTCTTAGTCTTACTAATAGGTCTTACTGATAGTCTTTATAGCCTAGTAGCAGTAGTAATAGCCTAGTACTAATAGTCTATATTTATAAATAAAACTTTATAGCTTTTTTTCCTCAGTGCCTATGGCATATGATGAAGTGTATGCTTACTTTATTTTACTGTAAACCAGTGTTAGATTATCATGTGGCTTTTTCATAATTGCAATTATTGTTATTTAATTTATTATTTAGACATAACTTTGAACATAAGAAAGATTTATCAGTAGTGGTTACACTTTTTAACTAACTCTGCGAAAGTCCTGAACTGTCTTCTCCACCAATAGGGATTCCATCTGCATGCAAGCAGGTTGTCAGTGTGGAAACAACAAGAGATATAGAGTGGGACACATGCACTTGTACACTTGGCTTCCATGTCTTTGGTAAGTTGTAGGATAAGTAGTTAGAGTTTTAATGTACTGTGTTTGCCAATACACTATTGCTGTTTACTTGATTATTTACAGTATGTGAACCCTGTTTAATAAATCCCTTTTTTGGTGTGGTGAAAATATATGGATTAGGAAGGCCTTTGCATAGGAGATCCAGGATCCTGTCTCCAATCAATCCATCCATCCATTCTCTAACTGCTTCATCCAGTTCAGGATTATGGGGGAGCCTGTGCATGTCTTGAAAAGCAATGGGCACAAGACAGGGTACACCCTGGATGGGACATCAGTCCATCTCGGGCATACAAAGACAGACAGTAAAACACACATACACGCCAGGGCCAGTTTTGCCAGAAGTCAATTAACCTACCAGTAGTCTTTGGACTGTGGCAGTAACCTGGAGCACCGGGAGCCCAGCCACACAAACACGGGGAGAAAATATACAAACTCCATGAAAATACCACTGTAGGTTTGGATTTGAACACTGGGCCCCAGCGCAGAAATGCTAACCACTGTGCCGCTGTGGTACCTGTTACTGTAGCAAACATTTTAAAATGTTAAAACGGACTTTTCTTTTGCTGCCTTACACATTGTCTGGTAGACCAGAAAGCCTTTAAAATGTTCTTCATGTTATTACAAAGTGGGATTTAAAATGGAGAAAGTCAGGAAACTGACATGGTGATCAGTCAAATATAAAATAAATATAACACCTTACTTGTAAATATTTCTCCAATAATATACCTGAGTGGTTAGTATAGTTATAGGCACTTGAATTCTTTGTTCTCTTTTGCAGCTTTGATGAAAAGAGGCAAACTTGGTTAAACAAATATTATATCAATGACAGTGACACACACTTCTCTCCACACACTTCTTCTTTTTCTTCTTTCTTCTGATTTGATCCTATATGGTCTATTTTCTGGACTGCTGATTAGCACTCAATCATTTACCCAGAATGTAATTAACTAAGGCAAACCATGATACATTTTATAATTGGTTTGATCACAGACTCTGGAAACCTATTATCTCAGCAAACATCCCCTCTGCTTTGAAGCTGGAAATATTTCCACTGCCAGGTGTTACACACCTTATCTAGATTCTTATACACCACTGTTGTCACCTACCTCAGCCTGTAACAATATTCATCTTTGTTTTTTAATAAAAAGAGTCAGAATGAAAATCACTGATTTGTTTTTGTTTTAGATCCATTTAATTGGCCACTGTTAAACATCTGATCAAACTTTATCAACATTTTATAATGAGGTTTTCATTCTGTTTCACAGGTCTATGGCCAGAAGGCTCAGATGGCACAGATATCAATGCTGTCTGCAGATCACATCAAAAGAAGCTCCTTGTTACAGGAGATGATTTTGGAAAAGTCCATCTCTTCTCATATCCCTGCTCACAATTCAGAGTAAGATAGAAATCATCCTTAACTATTTTTCATTGTTGAGCCCATTGTAATTGTAATTGAAAATTGAATTGGTAAAAGACTTCTTGTACATGCATTTTAAATTATTTGTCATGTATATATCATGTGTATTATTTATGATGTAAATATTTAAAGTGCATAGATGCATGTAGGAATTCGCTTAGTGATTCAAGTTACAGCATGGAAACCTCTTGAGTACATTATAATAAATGTGGGCAAAATATATTTTTTTCTCCATTTAGTCTTGGAAGACTCCCATAATAAAAGGTAATTCCATAATAACCAAACTATTCACATTTTTAATAATGGATGTGCTATGTTCTCTCCCCTTTCAGGCTCCAAGTCACATATACGGAGGACACAGCAGTCATGTGACCAATGTGAACTTCCTGTTTGATGACAATTACCTCATTTCCACTGGAGGAAAGGACATGAGTATCATGCAGTGGCGAGTTGTGTAGGAGTCTCAGGGGGGCAGAGTGCCCACTCTGTGAAGAAAACAGACCATCCCAGAAGTCTGTACTGCACATGGAGCTAAAGAGGCAAATGCAAAGGCACAACACTAGCAACAATGGCAGAATGGATGAGGCGTTGGAATCAAACCTGATGTTTTTTTTTTCACAGCTCAGGAAACAACAAAGCAAACAGATTTTATTAAAATTCCCAGACAGTGATCCTCCTATTGTAACACTACAGTATGATTTCAAACAAGTTTAATTTCTGGGGTGAAAGATAACCAGGATTTTCATTTTTTTGGCCAATAATATTTTAGGACAAAAGTTATGCTCACAGACTTGTATTTCATGTGTATTTATGCCAGCAAAGATAGAGGTCATGAGCTATCCAGTTTAAGTCCTGTAACTGTGTTATCCTGTACTGCACTAATGCCTTTTAGAAACTGTAAATATATTTTTTTTAATGTCACTGAATGTGGCGAGTACAGCTGGAAGATCAGTGCAGGTCCATCTCTTATTAAAATACTGCACTGTCAGTCCTGAGACAGTGCTGGCTATTTTCACCGGATCGGTTAATGGTGCCTACTAAACTGCAGGACTCTATCCTGACCAATTCAACTGTGTTTTCCTTTCATCACATTCTAATCTCTGCCCCTCTTTAACTTCAAGCCCATAATTCACAAAAGATGATTTACTATAAAGTATTTTATTTAAAAAAAGTAGCAAATGAAATTTGGAATAAGTGCATGGCATCATCATTATATGTAGCAGAATATGTTTTGACTTAAGAATATCCAGTGAGTGTGTCTTCATGGTAACGCTGAGCCCTTATGACGTTTCCTATATAAGGACACCTTTTTCTATGAAGTCTTACAAAAATCAATAAAAATTGTATGCATACATGTGCACATTTCTGAAAGGTCAAGCAATGTACAATACCTAAACAAGCTATATGCAGTCAAACAGTTTACTTTTACAATGGACTTCGAGAAAACATTTAGTAGTGAAAGGCTGAAAGCTCCTCTATTCATTTTCTTCTTGCAGGTTATATCACTGCCATATGTGGAACACTGCAACTTACAGTTGAATACTGTGTCCATGGACTATGAAGTAAATAAAAAGTGCTAAATGTACACATCTTATATACTGTAGGTCATTAACTCTGAGATGCCTTTCTTGTATAGCAAGCAGAACACAGCCCTTGACCAAGAGAAAACACATGATATATGTCTTCGTTATATTTTGGTTATCTTTCTCAGATTTATCACTAATGGGTATTATAAATAAATTACTATCTTAAACAGGGATAATGCTTTCAGCAAACAAGAAACTACATCCAGAGCTCCACAAAAGCGGCAGGGGAACTGTATAAATGAAACTAATGTTTTTAATACTACAAGAAGCCATTTTGTTTTGTCGGCATTTCAGAACAAAAGACGGCTCTGTTCTTGATTGAGTTGTACATACAGTACATGAACATTATTGTTGCACTATTTACCTACAGTGGTATAAAAATATAACTGTAATAGCACCTCTTTGATGTGTGCAAGGTCTGGTCACTGTGTGCAATGCTCAGTCAGAAGAGGTAGTGTGATTTTAAAAAGGTTTGAAGTGGAAACAAGAAGAAACACAACCAGTGTTGACTGTCGGGAAACAAAAAAAAAAGAAATTGCAATGTATTGTTTACAATGGGGAATGTATGTAGAAATGACATATGGTTAACATGGTAGTTTCCATTTTATCACTAATACAACTATCATTTGTGTTTGACAGTAAATATGTATTAAACTTATAAAACATGTATGGCTGCAGTACTCATGAATCTTAAGACCATAAAAGCTTCCATTTCTAATAGCCATTCCAGGTTGAATGCCTATTAATAATATTTACTTTGTGAATTTTTAAGTATCATCAGGTAATACAGGTATTAGGCAAAACTAAAGGATTTAAATGTTACCGTCCAATTACAAATATGAGAAACCAAGAGCTTCTGGTGTGTTTTTATGTGCAAGCCACCTGGTGTTATTAGTCACGCCGGCACACTCGCGGAATGAAACATTTAGTTTAACAGTCAACATCACATAAGAGCTCTGGTCTGAAAACGTGTTCATTACAAATATTGCACAAATTAAACTATCAATTACAACATTGCTGGTTTCATATTCTTGTCTGACAGTTGACACCCCTTCTTATACATAGTGACTGCAAGAAGTTAACATGGGATCATAGAAGCGAATTGGTATTTGTTTTGTACCTGAATTATTTATATAATTGTCATTGTTTCTGAAGGGTAGAGTTCATTATGCAATCATGACACATTGGCCTGAAGTGAGTAAGCCTTAAGATCAGAAGCGCACCTGGTATGCCTTGGAAGTTTAAAGTGAGGAACTAATTTATTTGAAAATAAACATGAAGAATATTATACCCGTTTATGGTTTTACATTTAAGCATTAATGCATTGATTAACCTTGATTTCAATTTTACTATTATGCAGATGTATACACCGCTATAGGAAAGTATTGATCCACTTCCAGTAATACCCCACTGTGTTGAATTCCAATTTGGTTTTAAATGCAAAACACGACACAGTTTTAAGTATTTGAAATTAATCTGCAGTTTATCTGCTTGAAAACGTAAGCAATAATGAGACTGAAATGTCTCGGTGGTGTTGAAATCCAAACCCTAACCCTAGCTCGGGCCTCCTGGAACACGTACCCAAAACACTCCCTAAGTCAGCCACGATTAGAAAGTCACCAAAATGACTCCAAATTAGACAGACACAATTAAAGTAACAGTTTCCAGTATTTGAAATGTGTCTGCAGTGTATCTGCATGAAAACCCGAACAATAATTTCTGTTGTAATCTTCTGCGCAAAAAGGTGTCGAAAATAAACATGTTTTGTGTGGTTGACTGGTTGGGATTTGAAATATGACTGAAATCTGGCTAAACTGATCATTTTATTTGGAATAAAATGCAAAAAGAAACAGATTTGAGCATGTATACAGTGTCTTTACAAACTTGTAATGTTTGACCTTCTCGGCAGGCGCACAGCATAGCAAAAACTGCAAAATCCG